GTCCATTTTGTGGCCACGGACGCTATGCTGAATGCATGCTCTTTTGTGGGGGGCGTACTTCCTTTATTCTGGCTTGCTATAGACATGCTATTTGTGAGGAATGTATGGTTGGCATGCTTAATGCCAGCCGTCGTGGTAGTTGTTGTTTTGAGAATGCTCAGTTAGCTCTTCCATGCGCTCATCCACCCCATCCTTACAATGTGTGTCCTTTCTGTCGTCAAGGACAGCCTCATTCTTGAGCTTTTTCTTGCCCTTTCCTTTGCCCTCTTCCTCATTCTACACTCCGTATTTTCCCTCTTCCACTCTTTGTTTGTCCTCTCTCTGTCTCTTTTCCCTGTGTTTAACACCTTCCCCTTCACTCTGCCTCTCTCACAGCGTGCAAGTGGGCTGTTATGGCATACGGGGATGGGGGCAGCTCGCGCTCAACTTCATCAACATGGCGAGCCTTGCACGTGAGAGGCACAGTGGAGGTGGAGTTCAAAGAAGAAAGATAAATTTAATGGTCTCAATCTGCCCTTGCTTTTTCTTTTTCTTTTTGTTTTTATTTTTGCAATGTGCCCGTTTTTTCGCAAAGTGCGCTCTTTTAGTTTGTAGTTATGTGACAATATATATATATATTGAGTCGGTGAAACTCCGACGAAACAGTTTGTCACAGCCCCTCGTTTGTTGCCCTCTTCTCTCTCTCTGCCTACGGTTTACCGGGCAGTTCTATTTGTGACGATATATATTATATATTCTCACTCTCTCTCTCTCTCTATATATATATATTCCGTCTGGTGTGGGTGAGTGATAGTCTGCTTTGATTTTCATCACAGGTACCTTGAGGGAAGTGGTTGGTGCCCACCTCACGGTATCAGTTGTTGGGCAGTTGTTGATGCTTAACCACAACCGGGGTTAAGGTCAGGTACCTTGAGGGCAGTGGTTCGTGCCCACCTCACGGTATCAGTTGTCGGGCAGTCGTTGATGCTCAACCGGGGTTAAGGTGAATTATCACTTACAGTGTAATCAGTTAGGGGATTCTGCAGACTGTTGAGGGTTCAGCCTCCTGATGAGTCGGTGAAACCCCAACGAAACAGTTTGTCACAGCCCCTCGTTTACTGTCCTCGTCTCCCTCTCCGCCTATGGTTTACCGGGCAGTTCCGTTTGACGATATACATATATATAATATATATGGCCTCTGCCAATCATGGAATTTCAAAGAAGGGTGTTGGTTCATGAAACACTACCTTCTTCACAACGAATATAATGGGCGGCCATTATAGCTGTAATTGGGGTATCTTTCAGTCCAAATACAGCAATCATGACCATACGTTGTATTCGGGTGAAGAAGGCAGCGAACCAACTCTTCAAAAATGCACCGCCGGTTCCACAAGTTTTCCCATCAATGACTGCAAAGGGTGTACTCACACGGGGCACTCTTGGAATGAACTTGGTTGACAGTGGTCATGGTTAGATACATCCAGGAAAGCCCTAGTGCAAGCCTCCTTGTTGCTCTTGATATATGCTATATGGCCACATCTGAATTTCTCTTCCTCCTGTTTTTTTTTTTTTAAAGGATATCTCTCGGTTGGCTCCAGTAAATAATCCCAAAATCCACCTTCCTTTCGGTCGAAGAATCACAGGCAGCGACACACTGAAATAAAAAGGAAAAAGGAAACTGCATGTGGTAAATCGTATATGGATTCCCTTCCCTACTGCTGCTCCTCCTCCTTGTCCTCCTCCCAGCAGCATCATGGTGTGCAGCGTCATGGTGATTGTGCTTTCTATCCATCTCTGCTGCGTAGGATGCACTTAGTTTTTTATATTAACAAGTGGACCCTGCCACGGCTACACCGCGGCGCACAGCAACACTCGCTGATGGCGTCTTATTTTTGTTTC